TGGCTGCCGAGTGGATTAATATTGTCTGTAGCATGTTAATTATTGTGTCTAAATGAATCACCAGAAAGCGTGGGGACATGTGGCCTCGGGCCAATCTTAGTCCGTGGGACCGTGAACGCATGCTAGTCCTGCTTTCCACGCCCCGTAAGCAGGACGTCGGCTCAGGAGCGGGGAGAGGAAACACCTGTGGTCACATGCACATTCTCGGGCTTAGGGTTACACCCTGGCCGTTGGCTGGCAGTGAACATGACCTTGGGCTGTGCTGCCACGGGTGTGCCCTTTTAACCCGGCCTTGTGAGCAGTTGGAGAGAAGGCTCTGAAAGGGCCAAGTGGCAGTGAAGCTTTCTAAACAAGGCGATCTGGGGAGAGATGGTTTATTGAACAGATGAGTATCTATTCCCTGGCAACAGATACGCCCGAGCTGAAACCGGAGCCACTCAGGCAGCCTGGAAAAGGCGGTTCTGCTGGTCGGTGCCAGGGCAGCGACTGCGAGAACTGTGACCTGTTGTCCTCCATTAAGACTGCAGGTCAGCTCAGATAGGCCGTCCGGTTCGGGCTGAGGGAGGCAGCAGCACTGGGAAGGGCCGTAGCCTCAGTCCCCCTGCCCAAGCGTAGTCCTCTCCTGCAGAGGGGCACCCATAAGTAGAGAGGCACCCATGGGCAGAGGGGCACCCATGAGCAGAGGAGTACCCATGAGCAGAGGGGCACCCATGAGCCGAAGCACCTATAAGCAGAGCTGGGCACCTATAAGTGGAGGGGCACCTATAAGCAGAGCTGGGCAACTATAAGTGAAGAGGCACCTATAAGCAGAGCTGGGCACCCATAAGTGGAGGGGCACCTATAAGGAGCGGGGCACCCATGAGCAGAGGGGCACCTATAAGTGGATGCTCCCAGGAGACTAAGAGCACTCACTCGCAGGCTGCGGCCCACGCCTGCCCTTAAACAGAGTGAGTCATCGGAACTGGCTCGTTGCTTGCCAGGCCCTGGCCTTCCTGACAGGTGGTTTAAAACTCTGACTCCAGTGAGCACTGCAGAGTGAGGGGACAGGTGGACAATGGTTAGTGCGCTCCCTCCTTTGCCAGTCGGCTTGGCTCTTCAGGGTCCCCCTACTCCCCCATCGATTTGCGTGGGCCCTGTGGCAGAGGGCGTGCCCTGGCTCAGGGGTACCTGTGAAACTGCAGAGCAAGAGGGCGGCCTGAGTGCGGGGCCTCACTGCTGTCCCAGCCCCACTCGGGTTCCCTGGTCCCAGTCACCGGCCTGGCGCGTCCTCCATGTGCGCACACCTTCGGAGAGGGGCTGTGCCCGCCTCCCTGGGTGTCTGGTTGGGACTAAATGCACCCGTGGCAGCCATCCCAACCCCAATGTTACGTTTTGTGTGTGTGTGTGTGTGTGTGTGTGTGTGTAGATAAGCTAGTGGTTGCCCCCATGCCTGATGAGCCGCAGAGCCTTTTAAAGGGCAGCATATTTTCCTGACATTCTCCTCTTACATTATCTCTCTGAACTGAAGTGTGCTTATGAATAAAGTATTAGCATGCTCTCAGTGACCTGATCATATTCCCAAATCAGCCGGTCATGGGCTTTATTAATAAGGAATGTACTCTTAGAACTTTGGAAAAAATGAATTATTGGTGATACATACTATAGATAATAAAATATCTTGGAATTAGCGTGGTCTAAATTCAGAATTTGAAAAAAGGGGTAGGTGTGCATACAGTCACAAACAGGCCGAGGACTTACTGCTGCTGATGCTGTGAAGCGTGGGAACTGGGTTTGAGGTTAACGCTCAGGCTGTGCCGTCGGAATTCAGGGGTGAGACACACGCGTGGGCTGGCGCCCTAAGCAGAAGCACAGGCAGGAGCAAGGCATGGCTGCTGATGTGGGAGACGCGTGGGGCTCACAGGGAGGCGCTGAGAACAAATAGCATGGCAGTGAGAGAGGGGGTGGACGATAATTATAGGGGGTAATCAGCCCGGTCTGTGGCCGGGGAGGAGCAGACGGTGCACTCGGGGTGGCACTGGGAAGGAGGGATCTGCTTGTCCCCTGAGCACCACGGGGACAAGTGGATTGTGAGTCCTGGGTGAGAGGCATTGGAGGCGTGGCAGAGAGCGGACCTGGGTGAGAGGCATTGGAGGCGTGGCAGAGGCGTGGCAGAGGTGCTCCCAGGAAGAGAGGAAGGGGCACAGCCAAGAGCAAGGGCAGTGTAGGCAGTGCTCCGCGGGGTTGAGAGAGAGTGGCAGGCTGATGAGCAGGAATGACCCTGGGTGTGCTGACACTCCCTTGCTGAGAATCAGTGGCCCGAGCAGTGCTTGGTGGATACTGTAAGAGGCATGTGGAAGGTTCTGGAGGGTGACAGGAGGACTAGACACAGGGCCCCAGTGAGGGGAAGTGGAGGGGTTGGGTAACACTGTTGGAAGAAGTTAAGGGAGGTAGAATTAAGCAGGATGCTAACGGAACCCGAACATGGTGCTAACCATTTGAATATTGGATGGCTTGGGAGAAAATATTTAGTGAATACTTCTTTTATTGAGATGAAGGGGACAAAGAACTAAGGGTAAGGTGCACCATGTGTTGATCTGAGTTAGTCACTTAACGAGCATCTATTAGAACGGGAGTCACGCAGTCATGGGGGGAGAGCAAGGCAAGTCTGCCCACAGGAGCTTGTGTTGAGCGGGGTAACTACCTCATCGGTGCCTGGAGCCCCAGGGGAGAGAGCGAGGAAGGTGATGAAGAGACAGTGCTCAGAGACCGGGAAGAGGGATGGGGAGCCCCTCACCGCTGGGGGACAGCACCCAGCAGCAGGAGCAGCCCTGGATGCCGGGACCAGCAGGACAGCTGCCTGGCCGGGCGGAGCCACACAGGCAGAGTGTGAGGAAGGAGACGGACGGGGCGGAGCAGTGGGTGTCCTGAAAGCCACAGGGGAAGGTTCCCATTTAGTCCGGGGTGAGGGGGCCACCGGGAGCACCAGGATGCATGTTTTAAAAAGATGCTAGTATGCGGTGTGGCTTCACGTTTGAGCATCGACCCATGAACCGGGGTCAAGGTTCTATTCCCAGGCAGGGCACAGGCCCCGGGTTGTGGGCTCCATCACTGGTGTGGTACATGCTGGAGGCAGCAGATCCATGATTCTCTCTCATCACTGAAGTTTTTATCTCTCCCTCTCCCTACCTCTTTGAAATAAACAAATATATTTTTAAAAATAAAAATAGCTGTCAGTGGCAGCAGAATCGAACAGAACACAGCCATGTGCCACCTCGCCAGGGAAATGTGTCACTGGGTGATCTTGTGCAAATGTCACAGCGCCCACCTGTGCACACCTGGCCGGCAGGCCGGCGGCCCCGGGCTGTGGGACCCCCCCTGGGCCACAGCCCCTCTGACCCACACGTCGTGAGGCGAGCGTGACGGTAGCCAGAGGCTGTCGCAGGCCCCCCAGGGCGATAGGGGCGCAGCCCGAGGGGGTGAGCATCCGAGGGGTGAGCAGTGGCGCTGACCACACTAGAGGTGGGGCCCGCTTGTCAGTGAGACAGAGGTGGGCTGTGAGGGTCAGAGCCCAGGGGCCTCCAGGTCTGTGGGTAGGTTGTGTCTGTTGGAGAGCTCCTTCTGCCTCTGAGGGAAGCAGACCCTCTCGCTCAGCCATCGGAGGGACCCGCCGCCTTGCTCCTTGCCAAGGGCAGCAGCCTGGGCGACTTGGCATTCGGCCTGTGCCACCGAGGAGCAAAAAGGGGGTGGGGGAGGCAGTGGAGGCAGAGAGCCCTAGCCTGCTGAGAGCTGTGCTGTTTTTAAATAAAAAATTAAATAATCAAGGGTGTGTAATGGAGGGGGCGGGGGGGAGGGAGCGCGGGTAGGGGAAGCTAGGGGAAGGTCAATGGGGGGGGGGGGAAAGGGAAACATGTACTACTATGTATAATACTTTAAACAAGAAAATAAAATTAAAAAAAAGATTAAATGAATAAATATAATTTCATAGATTTCAGAGAGGAAGGGAAAGAGAGATAGTAACACCCATGATGAGAGAGAATCATGGATCGGCTGCCTCCTGCACGCCCCACACTGGGGATCAAGCCCGCAACCCGGGCATGTGCCCTGACCGGGAATCAAGCCCTGACCTCCTGGTTCATAGGTCCATGCCCATCCACTGAGCAACACTGGCCAGGCTCAGGTTAAAATCACGGAAGAGTCCCCAGGGCTGTGGCTTTGTCTGTGGACAGCTGGGTTACTTTCCACGGCTCCACTTAAACTACTTCTCTCTTCCACCAGTAAGTCCAGTGTAAGATAAAAGTGGGCATTGACGAAGTATTCACAGATCGTGTACGTTCAGTAATGTAGTTTCTCAAAAGCGGGGCTGGCTCACGGCTTCGTGAAGGCTGCTGGAACCCGGTGGCCTTTAGGATAAGCCAGCCTTGTCCTCATCGTAAGGACAGATGGTGGGTGTTGTCAGTAGCAGGACCCACTGTGTGGGGAGGGTCCCCGCCACCTGAGAGCAGTGTTGGGGGCCTAGCTGCTGGGCTCACGTGGAAGGCGGCCTTCCCGTGAAACAGCCTCGCCCCGGGCTCCAGGTGCCCGTGCTGAGGCTGCTTCGGGAGGTCTGAGAGGAGCCGTGGTGGTGATGGTGATGGTGAGGGCGGTGACAGGCAGGGCCTCGACGCTGGTATGGCATGACTTCGTTCTCAGCAATGAGACGTGCATGCTGCGAGCACACAGTCAGCTCACCGCCCCGGGCACACCGGTGAGGAGGCTCTGAACACGCTTCAGAGGCCCCACCGTGTCCATCCCTTTGTGCAGGAGGCATCATCCCATTCCTCCCTCCCGCATCTTATGTTCAGAGTTGGGTTCCCCCGGAATCCCCTGGTGAAGCGGGAAAAGAGCACCATGTGCCTGCCTCCCTGTGGACGTGCATGCAGTTGGGGTGACTGCGAGGCTGGCTGAAGTGTCCCCCGCTTACGGGAGCCCCGGGGCCGGTTCCGTCTGCCTTCCCCCGTGAAGCTGCCTTCCTTGTCTTCCAGGTGAAGTCCGTGATAAACCTCCTGTTTGCGGCCTACACTGGAGACGTGTCTGCGCTTCGGAGGTACGTTCCTGGGCGGATCAGCGAGTGGCTCGCAGGTGTTCACGGAGCAGCTTCTGGGCAGATGGCCATCTCGAGGCTAAAACCCCACTTGCATTTCCCTCTGATAACAAGGACCCAAGCAATGTATATTAAATGTCCATCCCATGGACGTTTGTCCAGCAAAGCCCAGGCCCCTTGTCCTAAGTGGTGGCGGTCCAAACGCCTTCTCCACCCCCAGGCACCCTCCACGCCCCTCTCTGGGCGGAAGGGGAGGAGGGGGGAGGGGAGGAGAGGCAGCAGAGGCCGCATGGCGCTGTGTGCTTGACGTCAGGCCTTTGTGTAGAGCTGCAACGCTAGTGTGATGGAGTCTGTGCTTCACTCCATCTTCCACGTCTTTTGGTCCTGGTGCCCGTGCTGTACTGAGCACCTCAGAGCTGCTGAGCTCAGCCTGGGTCTTTGTTGCTCTCAGTTCCGTGGGCCCACAGGCGTTGGCTAACCAGCACGTTGCTGGTAATTCTATTGCGATATATAAGTGTATGCAATCAACACACTGTACACCGTAAACCTCCATCAACGTGCGTGTCAGTTCTATCTCAATGAACTTGTGCTCTTCAGCGACCTTGGAGGAAAATGAAGCCCGATTGGTTCTCCTGCACGGTGGCCTGTGGCCTGTGAAGAATGGGCGTCTGGGGGCCACGCTGAGTGAGGGGCTAGCTGCTTGCTCTGAGGCTCACACTCGCACGGTGGGGCCCTGTTCTCCAGCTGGAGTAACGAGGGAATGACGCCACGTCCGGGGCGAGAGCAAGCTGAGAAGCAGGCGAGGTGGAGGGCCCTGCCTCCCGGGCCTCAGCCTGAACCAGGCCGATGCTGTGAGTGTGCGTTTAGCATGTTGTAAGCACAGATGAAGAGCTGTGCCTCCACATTTCCAGGTTTGCCCTGTCGGCCATGGACATGGAGCAGCGAGACTACGACTCTAGGACGGCCCTGCACGTGGCTGCTGCTGAGGGTGAGGATGGCCCCTCCCCCACTTCCTTTTCAGACTTGACCTCCACTCGGCACTGACCCCTGACACCTGCCTGCTCTCTGTCGGCTACAGGTCACGTTGAAGTCGTGAAGTTTTTGCTGGAAGCCTGCAAAGTCAACCCTTTCCCCAAGGACAGGTGAGCCCAGCGCTGCCTCCCGCACACCGTGCCGGTCGGGGTTTGACCACGCAGGTCAAGAGCACGCTAGCTAAGGTCACCCCGTAACCCACCGCGTTTATGTGGGAGACGTTCTGGAACTGGGTGTGGTGCCTTCTAAAGGCAACACCTCACCGTGCCTGCCCGGGGGGGGGGGGGGGGGGCGGGTTCTCTCCTATTCTGTCTCTTACCCAAGATGGTCTCTCGTCAGCATGTCTCACGGTCGTGCGGCTGTCCGCTCAGCACACCGTAGGGAGGAAACAATTCTTTGCCCGTGGGAAGAGGGAGTAGGAATGTGTCCTCGGGGGTTTTCGCCTACACAGGGTGGACTAGACGCGGCAGGCACGTGGTTAGGACGCGTGTGCATGCTGCTGCCTGGAGCTCCACAGCCAGGGCGGGGGTTCTGAAAGTCCCCGGGTGGGTCCGAGTCCCTCTTGGAAGCTTGGAGGAAGTGGGATTTCAATCCGTGACCAGGGGACACGGGCTGGGAGGCTGGGAGAGAAGGGCACGCTGCTTTAGCGGGAGAAACGGCCTGGAACACGTTTCGCTCCCTCCACTCCCTCTCGGCCCAGAGGGCACGCTGCCCCTCACCCTGCAGATGTGCCCCCAGAGGGCGCCCAGGAGGGGCAAGTGCATATAGATGCCAGACTTCTACCCATGCGCCCACACGTGTCAGAATTGCACATGTGCTTATGCACCCGTACATGTCAGAACTGCACGTGTGCTTATGCACCCACACGTGTCAGAACTGCACGTGTGCTTATGCGCCCGTACATGTCAGAACTGCACGTGTGCTTGGACTTAGCTGCCCCCGTGTTGGGCACCCGGATGTTTACAAAGGCTGCGTCCTGTTGGATTGATCCCTTTATCATCATGTAGTGTCCGTCTTTGTCCTTCTCACAGCCTTTTAGTCTTGGTTTTTAAAGCGTAGTTGGTCTGGTGAGTATTTCTACCCCAGCCCTCTTTTCTCCTTGACATGAAATATATCTTGCATTCCTTTACTTTTAATCTGTATTTTCTATTCCGAGGCGGGTCCCTTTAGACAGCATGCACAGGAGTCTTGTTATCCATTTTGCTACCCTATGTCCTCTGATCCATGGTCAGTGAGAAGGAGAATAAAGGGTTAGGAGAATGGAGGAAGGGAGGAGTGCTGGGAGAGGTGTGGTACTGACTTTGGGTGGGATACTTGAGGACGGCATTAAATTTGGAGTATGTTGATTATTCTCTAGTTATTAAGGCTTTACTATTTTTTTTTTATTTTTTTTTAATGAGAGCTTGGCTTTTATTAGCTCAGCTTGCAAGAAGTGCAGGAAAGGGACGGTGTCAGGGTCTGAGAACTGTGAGCAGCTCTGTAGGTGCGGTAGCACACTGGCTCTCTAGCCATAACCTTCAACAGCAGCATCCCCAAACCTCCCTTTGTCCCCAATGCCCATGCTGCTCGTTCCTTAGCAAGAAACTGAACAGCGCTCCCTCGTCCGATAATCCCAGCCCAAACCTCACGCCCCACGTGTGGAGACTGTTGCTGTGCTCGCATATTCAGGGACTGGGATGTGTAGTGGTTTCCTGTCCTAACTGGCCAGTAGGAATGTGGAAGGGAAGTACTCAGTGGTTGGCAAAGGTTAGCTACGCAAGTACCTTGGTAACTAGATATTCAACTATTTGAGATTTTAGGTTAAACCAAGACAGTGCTTTCTCCTACTTCACAGTCAGCATCACCTCAACCTGAAGAATAGGCTCGAGCAAATGTAGTGTGTTCTGTAAAGTTGACATTTTGCATTGTTTCATGGAAAAAGTTGTAAAGAAGGTAACTTGCAGTAAACATTCAATCTCTCCCCCCACCCCCACCCCCCACCCCCAGAAAGACAAGTAATTATATGCTGCAGAGGACTGAAAACTGTCCTCACCCCCAATATAAGGCCACCAACTCCCTAAATAAATGAAGGCCAGTAAAAAAGTAAAAGCAACTTAATTCATCTGGGACTTTTGGGGGGGAAATACAACTAAAATGTTACTTACCTGATTTTAAAAATTAAGAATTTTTTATCCAGAAATATTTTTCAAATGAAACTGAATATGCAAAACCTGTTGGGTCCTTCAGAGGGAGAAAGAGAAGGAAGGAAAGCCAGGTGGTGTGTGGCACAGGAGCCCGAGAGACTGGTGCCAAGGACTGGCGCCAGCAGCGAGGAGGCTGGGAGGCTGCATCGGTTGTGTTAGGGAACCACTGCCATCCTCTGCCCTTCCTTGGGTTGTGTGTCACCCACTGTCTCATTTCTTAAGAGACTGGTGAGCTGGTTCACCGCTGTGGCCAGTCTTCCCCTCCGTCACCCTAAGAGCAGGAACACGTGGGAAGGGCAGGGTCACCCTCCTGCCCCTGCGCTGGCCCCGGGTCCCACCTTCACCAGGGAAGGTGAACAGTCCATTCCTTGGGGTCGATCTTGCTCCTACGATGTGTGCTTGTGCCCTAATGGGGTCGCAGTTATTTCCAGACCCCTGAGATTCACTGCGATTCTGAATTCATAGGAACGTAATTTCTGTAGCAAAAGCTAGGGGGGTGGGTGCTACAAACCTGTATTTCCTTTGGACTTTTAATGGAGAGAGAGATCCCGGGAGCTTTTCCCGGAGTCCCGGCTCAGGGACCTTGAGGAGCCTCCGTGTCTGTCAGCCAGGACTTTCCGCCCGGAGCGCTTGGGTCTGTTCTCGGAGAACACCCTGTCCTCCTGCTCCCCAAGGCTGCCTCCCAGGCCCTCCTGTGTACTCCTCCCACTAATGGTCACTGTCACATGGCTCCGCTGGCATGGATGGCCCTTCCCTGCCCCCGAGCCCGGAGGTGCTGTCCGGGCACCTCACGCCCTGTCCCCTGTGCTGCCTGCAGGTGGAACAACACGCCCATGGACGAGGCGCTGCACTTTGGCCACCACGACGTGTTCAAGATCCTGCAGGAGTACCAGGGCCAGTACACGCCGCAGGGCGATGCCGACGATGGGAAGGAGAACCAGACCGTGCACAAGAACCTCGACGGCCTCCTGTGACGCCGGAGCCCGGCCCGGCCCCTTACCCGTGTCACCGTGGACGTGGTCATGGAACGCGTGTGTCTCCTGCAGCGTGGGTCAGCTCAGTGCTACTGGCAGTCTCTCCGTTGCACGCCCGGGACAAACCTGATCTCTTTGGGGACAAAACAGAAGTAAAACCACCTCCCTCCACAATGTGAGCGCTGTGGCCTGGTGCGCTGTCGAGTCCGATGCAGAAGTAGTCCCAGTGCTGGCTTAGCTGTGAGGTCCTCATGATTCTTGTGTGTTCTGTGGACTCTCGGTCTTATGCATCAATAGAAATTAAGCTGTTATCTCCACGGCCTGTCCGCAGGGGCCAGGCTGCCTGTAGAACCACATAGCGCCATTTCCAGGACTTCCTGTAGAGACTAGTCTGAGCGTTTGAACAACTGCGTGCACTCATGGTTGTGTGTTTAAGATTCCTCCCCTCCCCCCAGCTTTATGATGTGACTTTAATAATTACCATAGTTAACAGTGGTTAGTAGGATAGACCAATTCTGATCAGACTTTATCAGGGAATCTGTTGAAGATACGTTTGGTGACCAAAAAAGTGTCGATGTAGCTACACTACTTTTGGAAAATTTTCCTTTTTCTAGGTCCCCTTTGCCCAGCCTCTTCCCAGGCGCGGCCACATGCCTCTGGGCCCTTCAGCTGGGAAAGGGGGTGTGGCATGCCCCTCCCCACGTTCCCAGCGAGTCAGAAAACTCCGCCCAGATCTGGCATCTGAGCTGTAAGGAGGCTGTCTGTCTATAGACCAACCAGATAACTGAGTACGAATTGGCCCCGCGAAGGGGATGTGGTGCTGCGGCTCTTTAAGAAGCAGTCAGCGCCCAGGGTCGGTTCAGAAGCGCCCCGAGCGCGTTCCGTGGGTCCACCAGGGCCCCCAGCTCCCTCTCTTCCCTGGCAGACCCCCGGGCGGCCGCTGCGTTCAGAACAAGGCCAGTCAGTTGTAAACGGAGCTGCAGCCATTTCGGGGAGGGAATTGCACATACACTTTATCAGACCTCAGAGGTGAAGGGGTTTGTTAGTGAGCATTTCTGATAGTAAGCGCGCACACGCACCCGACTGCTTTGAAGCCGTTGAGAAATGAGCAGAAACCTCCCCCACAGACAAGCTGGTGTTCACGTTACACAGCAAATCCTCCCCCTTTCCTGCGGGCCACACGCTGCTTCCCAGCTGTACGGGCCACACGCTGCTTCCCGCCGACCCCGCTAGCGGCCTCCAGCGTTTCCCCTTTTGCTTCCATCTGAGTCAATGGCTCAACGTGGCCATGAGGACGCGTGGCCGTGGCTGTGGCCGTGGAGGACTGAGCCGCCAGGCACCAGCCCGGCCTGTGTCTGTGGGAACGAGGCGGAGGAGGCCGGGAGCAGCGTTGCCCCGGGAAGGCCCCTCTCCACCCCTGACCCCACACCGGGGTCCCCCGCTCAGAGCAGCGCTGTGTGCTTGGGGGCCCTCAGACGGCTCACGTGGCGGAAGGGTTACCGATGGCCGGGGGCTCTGCTTTAATGGAAAGAGGCTCTCGCTATCATTTCCGATTAGGACTCTGTAAAGGCTTTGTGATTTCGCTCTGTGCCCCCTTCCTACCACGAGGTCATGTCCGCCGCAGCTGGCTCCCGCTGGGGCCGCTGGCTGGAGGCTGACAGCCACGAGTACCTTCGGTGTCTGTGCTGTGGGTGCCGCTAATGGATGCCGGCTGGATACTCCGAAGATCTCTGCGGAGCGCTCTGGTGGTTACTCACGCTTTGTACTCGCTGCTGTGTGCGGCTCTGGGGCTGTGCTCTCACCGCGGGCGTGCTGTGCTGCCCCACACCGCCCCTGCCCCCCAACGGGGAGCGGGCGAGCGGATGGCCGCGGGGGCTGCTGTCTGTCTGGCCGGGCCTGGGTGCCTGCGTGTTGGGTTTAGCTCCTCCGGGGATTGCTCAGCTCTGAATGTATTTGCCGCCAGGACCTCCCTCAGAACCTAATCGGGACACTTCTATGTTGTTCGTGTTCTGAAATCGGGAAGTGTTTATTTTAAATGAAATCTAAAATAAACTGGGTAGTGTTGCTTTCCACTGCGTAATAAATACATGTATCCAAAAAACCTGTGACAGTGAAGTTTTTGAAAAAACAGCCCCGGGTTCTCTGCCAGCCCCGGGGTGGGCATGCCCCGGGCCTGGTGTGGGTGCAGCCACGGTGATGGTGCGGGGAGCACCAGTGTGGACTCGATCTCTGAAGCAAGGGGTGGGGCCGGGTGGTCCCACTCTCACCTGCTGACCTCACAGTAACACAGACCAGACGGCAGGCGAGCAGCTCAGGAGTGTGCCAAGCGGTACTCAAACCAAAGGCTGTGAGTGTGTGTGTGTGCGGGGGGGGGGGGGGGGGGGGGGGGGACACAGTTTCAGAAGGAAAGGTTGGGCTGAGGAAACGTCTTGGGAAGGCACGTGTATTTTCAGATGGGAAGGTGAGAGAAGGAAGTCAGCTATTCAAAGGGGCAGAGACGGGTTGTTTTGTTCTGTTCCAGAGCCTGAGCGCTGTCCTCTCTGACCGCTGTTCCCTCTGACCGCTGTCCCCTCTGACTGCTGCCCCCTCTGACCACTGTCTACTCTATCCTCTGTCCCCTCTGACCGCTGTCCCCTCTGTCCCCTCTGACCGCTGCCCCCTGTCCTCTGACCGCTGTCCCCTCTGACCGCTGTCCCCTCTGACCGCTGTCCCCTCTGACCGCTGCCCTCTCTGATGCTGCCCGGACCGCCTCACCTGCACAGTGACTGAGGGTGAGTGGCTGAGGGAGCAAACACTGAGGAAGACGACACTGTTAATCTGATTTAAAGTGGCAGTGGGACCCTTTTTCCTGCCAGGGCCATTGCATATTTGTAACATCATTCTCGGGCCAAACTTAAAAAGTAGCCTGCTGCCCTGGCTGGTGTGGCTCAGTGGATAGAGTCGGCCTACAGACTGATGGGTTCCATTCCAGTCAAGGGCACTGCCTGGGTTATGGGCTCCATCCCCAGTAAGGGGCCTGCAGGAAACAGCTGATCAATGATTCTCATCATTGATGTGTCTCTCCCTCCCTCTCTCTTCCTCTCTGAGTTAAATAAAATATGTATTTTAAAGAATTAGCCTCATGTCTTGGCAGGGCCAGACTGAAGGGCCTAATATAGCCCACAGGGCAGACATTCCCCTCCCCATTTTACAGGACTGACCATTCCCTGGCTGGTTTAGCTCAGTGGATAGAGTATCAACCTGGGGACTAAAAGGTCCCAGGTTCGATTCCAGCTAAAGACACATGCCCGAGTTGTGAGCTCGATACCCAGTGGGGGATGTGCAGGAGGCAGCTGATCAATGATTCTCTCTCATCACTGATGTTTCTATTTCTCCTTCTCAATTCCTCTCTGAAATCAGTAAAGAAATGTTGAAAAAAAATAAAAATAAAGGACTGATCATTTTCTATGAAAAAAAGCAGCAGCAAGAAGAAAAAAAGTAAAATAAACTTACCCAGATCTCTGACCCCACCCCCAAAAAGGGAAATATATTTTTAAGTTTAATCATAAGTTAAAAAAAATATATATAAAACACCCAAACTACTAAAGCCAGTAACCGTTAAGATCTTCACCGGAATGCTATAATGGGACCAGCACTAGCATTTAATGCTTCCTGAAGAGCGGACAGCCTCTTGGCGAGGGCCGTGCCAGGAGCCACCCAGACGCTCACAGGGAGAGCACACGCCTGAGGGGAACACCAGCAGCGAGAGACAAGGGTTTGCTCAAGTCTGTTCCTTTATCATCTCCATTGGCCAAGTCCACGCACACCCAGCCCGGCTGCTGCCCCTCAGGTGTGAAGGGGGAGGAGGCCTGGCTGCTGCTCGGGACAAAGGACAGGTGCACACGGCCTTCAGGGCGATGGGAGGCGTCAGCTTTAATTCAGAACAAACAGTGAGCAAACCTCCCCCCCCCCCCCCCCCCAAAGCACAGCCCTGCTCAGGGGTACAGTGACGCGGTGACGGCAGGAGCAGACGCAGCTGCAAGGACACGTGAAGAATCGTGTCAAACCCGACCCCCACACATGATTTCTGTGTCAGAATGAAGGAAAGAGGCATGGAACATAATACACGTCACACACTACCACCAGTCAAAACAGGTCTGGGAAGCATGACAGACGATGGGACCTTTTGCTTCAAAGGCCTTTGTCGGAGAAACACTTTATCAGCGAAAAGAAGCCATTCTCAATCGGTTACACAGGGCGAGCACTCGCATGATTTGATTTCTCGAAATACCTCTGGTTAATGGTTGGCCAGCTACTATTCTTTCTTTCTCAACTTGAAAATGGAATGACTAGGAGACTAAATGCCAGTGAGTAACAATAGAGAGAAGTTGACCCATTGAAGGAACATGAACTGAGTTTCTGAGTTCGTCTACACCTGCGATCACTCTCAGCCTTGGACAGAGTACCAGGGTCTGGGAACAGCTGTTCCCCGGACAGAACGGGAAGGCGCTCGAGCTAACGGCAGCGGTGATGGAGGCCGCGTCTTCGGCTGTGGACACTCACGTTGGAACAGAAAGCACGACTCCCGGATGTGGAAATGTGCTGTCTCGACTGGTATCAGCCAGAATCAGAACAGTGACAGAAGAGCAAATCCCCCGAGGGAGAGCATTTGTCTTTGGCTGCACGTGGCTGGTGTGGGAGTTACAGTAAAATGCAAAACACGGCCGCTCTCCCCTGCCCAGGGTCAGGGTGGCCCCTCTGCCAGGAGGTGGTGTGATTCTAGAGAAACTTAGCTTTGAATGCTTCATAGAGAAGCCGGGGAAATTTCCAGCCTGCTTCAGGCAGAGAAAACAAACACGAATTGTCCGGCAGAATCCCCTGGTGAGCAGTTGCTGGGTGCTGCTGGCGTCTCCCCCTCCCACTCTCACCCTGGCAGTCCTCACTGCCTTCACCTGAACCCCGCTCGCTCCGTGGAGAGGGCCTCTCCCTGTTACCTTTAATTGGATGCAGCAGCCCGCAGGGAACAGGTGTTTCTGAATTAGGAGAATCCGCTCGCTAACAGGCTGCCGCATACTGTGGCTTTTCTTCCCTTCCCTAGAAGCAGGATGCCAAGGACAGAGAGCAGGAGGGAGCAGCAGGTGCGAAGGGCGGGCGTCGGCGGAGACGAGCAGCGCGCATCTATACAGCGTTCATCTGCGGAGAGAGGACACAGGTCGTTGAGTGACAGCTCTGGTCCAGGGCAGGCTCAGAGCTCACACGGCCCATCTGTTACCAAAGAGCAGGAAGCCGATTCCAACAGCACCTGAAATGGAACAGAGGCTGTCAGCCCGGCTCCCTCCCCGGGACTCACTGAGGCCCTTCCTATCCCCTAAACCCATGGTTGGCAAACTCAAGAGCCACATGCAGCTCTTGGCCCCTTGAGTGTGGCTCTTTCACAAAATACCACGTGCATGCATGTACAGTGCTATTGAAACTTCGTGGCCCATGTGCAGGTCAGTCTATTTTGAAGAAGTGGCGTTAGAAGTGGGGGTGTCAGTCACATGTGGCTCTCGAGCCGCGGTTTGTTGACTACTGCCCTAAGCTGATGGATTAGCGCTCTGCAGCCTGCTGGCTTAGTCCAGGCCACCCCTCCGGGCTGCAAAGCTATCCGCTGTTGTGCAACCAGCAAATCTGTTCCTGCAGAACCAGGAGGGATGTGCCTCCATGCAGCTCAGCAGGAATGATGAGACTGCCTCTCAGGTGGAGAACAGCAGTGCCTCCTACTCGCTGCCTGAAGAGGGCACCTGGCAGGCAGGCATGCTCACTCAGAGGGCACCTGCCCACTGCCAGCCTGGGCTCTCCTGCTGGCACCTAGCGAGCCACTGAGCATCCTACACAGACCGGCCTGCATGAGGGGTGTGCAGCCCGAAACACCCATTCTTTTCGGTCCCAGTGCTCACTAGGGGTGGCACCTGGTGATGGGCAAACTACGGAGGTGGAGCACCAAGTGCTAGGAGGACGGGGCTCAGGACACAAGTTGCAGAGGTGAAGGAAGAGCCCTTGGAGCTACCAGTAATGTGCAGGCGCCTGGGGGGAGGGGCAGAGAAGGCAGGGTGTGCTCCGGAGGGAAGGCACCAGGACAATGATTTTGGGTGAAAAGCACTGTGTTCTGTGCGGCTGATGCTCCAGTGTAGCTGGGGTAGACTTTGGGGGAGGAGAGGGCGGGAGAGGCAGCCCCATCCCTCAGCAGCTGGACGGGCGTGTTCATAGCCTCTGCATCTCAGTGCCCCACCCTGGGAGCTAAGGCAGACGGGTGCCCGAGGGTGAAACTGGATAGAGACCGCTGCGTGGCAGATGGACAACAGCAACAGTGACTAAAGGTCCCTCTATGGCTACATCAGCTCTGACCCAAGGCCTGGGAGAGAGATGTTTCCTGGCGCCGAGGAGAGTTTATTGGACGGGAAATCCAGGCGAGACATGCACGTGGTCCTGCAGGTGCTGTTCCCAGGACAACCTCTGGGGCCTGCAGGCTCCTGCTGCTGAGGGGCACAGGCATCGCCCGGGCCACCTCCACCTGAGCCAACCCCTCCCCCTACCTGCACCCAGAGCTGCTGCCTTCAGCCCTGGGACCAGCTCTGGGAGTTACTCCGTCTCAGAGCAGGTGCCGTATCCCAGGAGTGGATGCTGATGGGAACCGAGGGCCGCTGAGGACCGACCATCGGACACAGACAAGACGGTCTCCTCAGCCAGGATGAACCCAGCGTGTGTCTAGACAGTGTGCTTGCACTTGAGCCTCTCAGCTCCTTAAGTCCTTCCTCTCCACCGGGGATGTGTGTGTGCGTGTGCACGCGAGCGTAGCAGGGTCATTTATTCTACATGGACTGTGACCCTGAAATGAAGGAAACCATCTGAAATGGATGGGATGGCTACAGGGACATCTCAGTGTTATGTAGAGGTGTCCATTGCTCTCCCAGGATCACTCAGAGCACGGAGAATGCACTCACGTTGCACACAGATGGAGGGAACTCATCCACCTTATTCCCTCGGGGCCAAGGGAGTAACAGAGATGACAGAACTCCGATGTCCAGCCCCCAGCACAGCCTCTCATCCAGGCCCACAGCCCGTCCCACACGGCGCTTCCCACAGAGCCCATCCACAGCAGATCAGATGCCCCGCCAGCTCCTCCAGGCGCGGCTTCGTGTGAGGCTGCTGTCTGTGGGAGGCGTTGGGGACGGTGGACAAGGGCAGGCTCTCACACTCCTAGATTCACATACCCACCTCACTCACTGTTCCACCTTATCAAGTCACCCAGACTTGGGGGTGCTTTTCCACACCCGCAGAAATGTGAGTAATAGTAATACCAGCTCAGGAGGCAGCGTGAAGGCCGTGTGATTACCTGTGGGTGCCTGGCACCCAACCGGTGCCGGAGGAGTGTGAGGACCGAGGTGTGACCTGCGGGTGCCTGCACACAGCCAGTGCTAGAGGAGTGTCGCCTGTGGCTGTGTGAGGCCCAGGCCACATGTTCAGGACAACAGAAGCGGAGAAAGGCAGCTGTGTTTTGGTCCCACTGGCCTATCTGGCATGCTCTCTTTTCCCCTAAATATATGTCTATTGATTCCAAAGAGGAAGGGACAGAGAGAGGGAAACATCAATGTGAGAGAATCATGGATAGGCTGCCTCCTGCACACCCCACTGGGGATTGAGCCCGCAACCCGGGCATATGCACTGACCAGGAATCGAACTGTGACCTCTTGGTTCATAGGTGGACGCTAGACCATGGGGCCGGCTCACATGTTCTGAATAGGCTTTCTCTTTCTGCCTCCTTCGTTGACACTTTCCCCAGGACCAGGGGGACACTGACGGAGAATGTGATTTTAATAGAGAGGTGTCCACAGGAAGAGGCTGCTGGCTCTTTCACTACCCAGGCATTTTTCTCAATGACTGTTATACATTTTGTCAGCAATCAGGAAGCAGAAGAAAGACCGGTCTGAGGGTTTTAGCCTGTGCTGCCTCAGGTGAGGACAAAAGATGAAGAGAAAGTGACATACCGAAAGTTACCTGAACCAGGTATTCCTAATGTTTTATAAATGCATTCTCTGCGCACATAGACCTGGGCTCTAAGGGTGTGACTGGGACCCTGAGGGTGTGACCTGGGCCCTGAGGATGTGACTGGAACCCTGAGGGGGAACCTGGAACCCTGAGGGGGTACCTGGGACCCTGAGGGTGTGACCTGGGACCCTGGGCCCTGAGTGTGTCACTGGGACCCTGAAGGAGTGATTGGGACCCTGTGGGGGTACCTGGGACCTTAAGGGTGTGACCTGGGACATTCATTAAGGGTGTGACCTGGGACCCTGAAGGTGTAACTGGGGCCCTGCCCGCATGAACCTGGGCCTGGAAGGTGTACAAAGCAGAGCCCATGCAGCCTCCCCCCTCTCCACCTCCCTCCCATGATGCCGCCGGTCCACAGGTCCCTGGAGATGCAGAAAGGCCGGTAAGGACACAGGATGTTTGGAAGGCTTGTGAAACACTTCTTTCACAATGAGCTGGAATGGCTTCGTGTGGAAAAGCTTAAAACTGAACAGCGTCAGCAAAGACCCAGCCAACCAAAAACATTGGGAGGATTTCAGGCTGATGAGCAGATTACACGTCTGACAGACTAGAAAGTGGGAAACACCCTCCTCCTCCTGGAAGAGGCCCCGGAGCCAACCCCACAAACTGCTTCCCTCCGGTCCCAGGTGCCAGCAGTTTGCACCAGTCCCAGCCGGGAGCCAGGAGCAGGTGGCAGGGCTCCCTGCAGCCGCCATGTCTCTCATCCACCCACTAGCCCCCCTAAAAGTAACAGCTCCCACCCCAAAGCAGCAGGCCCCAGGTAAACCGGGTCAGAGGGTCCGAGCCCCTGGATGCTGGGACATCGCCAGCGGACAGCCTCAAAGGGCGAGGGGCTCAAGCCTCTGAGATGCCTCTAGTTTTGGGAGGTGCTGCCACCAGGATAGAAACCCTGGGGCGCCATGGCTTATTCAGGCACAGCTGCCGGGAAGCGTCCCGTCCCCGCTCTGCCAGGCTCCGCCTGACGCCCTGTAGCCGCTCCAAGTCTGCCGGGGCGAGGGGCCCTCCCTGCCCAGGAAGCCCCCAGCCCGGCGGGTGGACACTCACCATGCTGTCGAATTCCACGGGGCCCACGATCCGGGACACCTCGTCAAACTCCTCCGGAGACATGGGGAGCAGGTTGTCTGTGGTCTGCAGTCGGGAAGGGTGCCTGCACCGGGAGAGGGAGGAGGGTTAGCTCTGGGCGAGGAAAGCGGGTCTCTGCCCGCACCTGTCGTCTGCCTGTGACTTCGCGATCCTGTTGGTTTTATGGCAGGAAGTGGGCACACTTGCAGAACGCATTTTAAAAAGTGCAGACCCCGGGAGGCTGCTGTCCCTGCGGCCCCTGCGCGGTGTTGCCTGGGCGTGCGGGTGTGGGCGTGGGCGCCGCCCGGCTCGGGCACATCGAGGCGGTGGGAGTCCCTCTTCCCTACCTTGCGGAGTGAGTGCAGAGGAGGCTGATCCCGAGATTTTTACGTGAAGGCTACTCCGTGCGCCCCACAGCGCTCAGGCCAAACTACTGACCGTGACTTTTCCCATTTTTTGTCTGCCTTTTATGAAACGAAAGGACAAAATAAAAGCAGGTGGAAGAAATGTATCTCAACCATCACGGTGGCCTTTTCCAGATCGAAAAGAACTCCTTTCCCACTCTGATCGGTTTTCGTTCATTTTATTCACATTTTTTCAAAGTCCCTGGGGAGAATTTATATCCCTTAAATACAACTTTGGGTGTTTTTTTTGATTTTTTTTGTTTGTTTTTTTATATAAAGGCAGTAAAATGCGGAGGCGGTGACACTGGGCCGCTAACTGGGGTCTTCCCATCGGGTTGAGTGCGGCGGCGGCGGCAACAAGGACAAGGAAAGCAAACGCAAATGTCTTCCACGGCCCGGCCGGGGCAGCCACGCTCTCCTGCCACTTACACTTCAGACACGGAAATCAGCTCCGTCTTGATGTATCCCGTCCCTTTGGGGCCGTCGACTTCCATGGGCTCTGCTGCTGGAAGGAGCACAGAGGACCCGCCATTAGCAGAGCCACACGCACAGGCATGCCTCTTTCACCTGTGCACGAGGCAACCAATCCATGTGTCTCTCTCACAGCAATGTTTCTCTCTGTCTCCTCCTTCCCTTCCACTCTCTAAAAAATTCAAGGGAGAAGATATCACCAGATGAGGATGAACAACAACAAAAAGTGACTACTTTTTCTCAATAGTCAGATACGGGAGTCCCGTCACCTTAGGGGGCTGAGCTAGGCTGAGCGGTTTCTCTTTCCGAGGCTCGGAACCCTGCAGGAGCTGAGCCTGGCTCTGCGGCCCGGCCTGGCTGCCGTAACCACACAGTTGGCCAGGCGAGGGAGGGCAACTTCCCCCGGAGGAACTGCGGACACTGAGGTTCAGGCTCTGAAAAGCACGCAGCTTTGCGGGCCTGTTCCCAGCCAGAGGAGCCTGACTGGCGTTCTCAGTGCCAGGCAGGGAGGACGGGGGAGCAGGAGGCCCGTGCTCAACGCCAGGTCTGCTCGTCACACAGTCACTGTTCACAACACGCCCCTCCCCCCCCTCCTGACTGGGCCACCCCATGAACTCCAGCACTTCTCCTGGGCCTCAGTTTACCTGATTTTAACAGGAGCAGGCTGGAATAAATCGGCTGGCCATAGTGGTCTACCTTTTACCCTTTCCACGAGGAAAAGTGATAACATGACAGATATGCAAAATGAGAAAAGTGGTAACATAGATACGCAAAACCCCTCTAGAACAGAAGTCGTCTACACTCGTTTCTTAGCAGCTATTTCAGGCCGACTAATGCACGAGGGTCAGCTGCGCTGAGTGGGTGCCATATTTCCAAAGCCCGCTCTGAGTGATCCGAAAGGCAGTGGCCGTCTGATGGCTCAGTGTGGGGGTTGGGATCGTGCTGAGAGGGAGGCAAGGGCCCAGGGGCATCTGAGCCTGTGACGGCGATGAGGTGAGAACACGGGCACTCACCTTCCTTGGGCCTGGAGTAATACTTCCCAAAGGCATGGTCTTTGTCGATGTTGGGGTACAGGTACTTGAGGGGGTTCTCTGGAATATTCTCAGCGGCCATGACCTTGTAGTTGCGAATGATATCAGGGAATGTCACCGCAGAGAGCTCTTTCTTCGTGTAGGGCTCCACCGCATGGAAGTACGGCTCTGAAGAGAAGAAAACCCCGGTGAGTCCCATGGGACAGCCCAGCACCACGGAGACGCAGAGCACGGCAGAGTCAAGGGATCGGAGACACAGAGAACTGATCACAGCCTCAGGGTTGCCACGCAGACGGTGCAGTAAGTTTACAATCCTTTCATAAACAGGGGAAAGCGGGCAGTCATTACTACCAACAGCACCGTGTCTGCCAACACAGCTGTAAGGCTCCCCTTCCCTGCCCTTCTCTACCATTCAGCCTTCCCCGCAAAACGAGCATTTCTCAGTCATGGGTTCATTCGTTAAACAGAATCCCAATGTAACAAATGTCAACTTGCATCTGTCCCGTCTGATGGCAGGTGGAGGGCGGCGCCCAGGCCCGGACCCATCTTAGAAAGCCTGTCTGCACCTGTGCCCCCCCCACCCTCCGCGCCTTGCCCGCCCCCTGCACCTGTGCCCACTCCCCTGCACCTGTGCCCGTCCCGCAGCCTCCCCCTGCCAAGACCTGGCTGCCAGGGCAACAAGGAACCACAGACACTCATGCGATGGACTGAGTCCTGCCTGAGGCGGCTGGGTGAGGACGGCTTCTGGTTCTGTGAAGAAGCTGGCTCTTTGCAGGAGCTGTGCGGCGGGAGGGCCGGGCAGGGCTTACCGCCTCCGTTCTGCGGCCGCTCCACCCACGTGAAGGTGATGGCGCCCTCGCGGCAGCTCTCGCTGAAGCGCAGCAGGAAGGTGCCCGGCTGCTGGTCCTTGAGCAGTGCCCGCTCGCGCTCCTTGCTGATGAAGCCCACGATGCACCTGGCGGGAGGGCACGGCATTCGGTCAGTCCTGGTTTTAATCTTCATGTAACTTCCTATCGAGGCTGCTGGGCCCTGACGAACAGCTGACAGGGGGCAGGCGACTCAGAGGCTTTAACATCGACGTAACCCACACCCAGGAAGGACTTCTCTCATGCATGCAGAAGTCCAAAAAGGATCGCCAACACGGGCCCAGCAGGTGCTCTAGGTGAGCAGTTAATACTTGTTGGCCCACCCACTTGGCTCAGTGGTTGATGGTTGACCTATGAACCTGGAGGTCACGGTTCAATTCCTGGTTGGGGCACATGCCGGGTTGCAGGCTAGATCCCCAGTGTGGGGTGTACAGGAGGCAGCCGATCCATGATTCTCTCTCATCGTGGATGTTTCTCTCTCTCTCTCCCTTCCTCTCTGGCATCAATAAAATGTATTTAAAAATAATAATAAAAGTGTTTTTCTCCTTCCTTGGGGCAACAGGGTGGGTGCTTGATAAACGTAGGAAGGGCACTCAGCGCACAGAGTCATCTCTGAGGAACCCCCCGCCCCCAGCCCTGAGGGACGCTGGAAGCCCCGTTTCTATGAGACGTCACAGGTCTCAGCACTGGGCCAGGCCTGGGCCAGCTGCACAGCCCGGAGTGTGCTGAATGCAGGTTTCAACACCGTGTCTGCCAAGGCCCTTACCCATCATTCCAGAGGGAGAGCAGGTGCTTTTTGATGAGTTCAAGGATGCTTTCAATCCAAAGCCAGAAAGGAAAATTTTTATCATTTATATTTTCCTGCAGGTAAACAAGGACACACATTAGGAACAAGAAATCTAAGTATTGGTGACTTCCCGTGCCTCCTCACCTCCCACCAGGCTGGACTCTGCAGAGGTAGCCCAGTGACCACAGCCTGCGTGGTGACCGCGGCCCGTACACAGCAGCCCCCATCCCTGGTCCGGACGCCCAGCTCTGCCTTTCCTGGGCTGCCTCCGCTTCCCTCTCCAAACAGGAGCACCGGCCAGGGAATGACCTCCGGGGAATCAAACAAAAGGCCAGGGAATGACCTCAGGGGAATCAGAACAAAAGGCCAGGGATAAACTCCGGGGAATCAGAACAAAAGCTGCCCTTGCACCGGACAGACCAGCAGCAAGTAGAAAGCTCGCAGAGGCAGTGAGCAGGTAGCAGTCTGGTGACTTCAGGGGTCTGATCATTCTGGTCCCTCAGCTTGAGGAGGCTGGAGATTGAGGAGGCTGGGGGCTGAGGTGGCTGGGGGTTGAGGTGGCTGGGGGTTGTGTTGGCTGGGGAGCTCATTTGGCACCAACCCACCCCCCCAGCACAGTTCTCACGGATGGCTAACACACTGCCAAAGGGGCCATGCGAGCAAACAAGACTGGCCTGGGATGTGAGAGAATGTTATCACCCGCAGGCACTTCCTGTCTGACTCGCTGGGAGGCCAACCTCGGTGCCAAGGAAAGTAAACGCTGTGCTCGAGGGCCCACGGGGAGAGGAACGAGCCAAAATAAACTCCCGGCGGACTGCCCTCGGAGAGACTCGGACCCCGCAGAGCCGCGGACAGGGAGCGTAAACCGTAAACACGGACAGGGCCCACCTTGCAGAACCTTGTCCACGGGATGAGGCCGTCGGGGCCGGCGCCAGGACCTGAGGGATGAAAAAGCTTTGTCAGCAAACAGATCAGTGCCGGAGCTTTGGCGGGGCTGGTGGCCCGGCTCGTGTTCGCTCTCAAAGGAGCCAGCACTGGCACAGGAAGGCTGTGTGCTCATGGCTGCTCTCCGATACTGCTTTCTGCAGAAGCCGCCGTATGTCCCTCCCTGGGCCCTATCCCCCCACGGCTCCCTCTCCAGTGACCTACAGAGTTGGTTTAAAAATGCAACTAAGGCCAAGATCACCCTAGGCCACCTACTGAATAAACACTTGACTTTATAAGCTTATTTTAGGTCTTAATTAGGCATTTCCCTCACCCCTCCTCCAAACAGGACACGGGCTAGGGCAGTGGTCGGCAAACCGCGGCTCACACGAGCTACATGCGGCTCTTTGGTCCCTTGAGTGTGGCTCTTCCACAAAATACCACGGCCTGAGTGAGTCTATTTTGAAGAAATGGCGTTAGAAGAAGTTTAAGTTTAAAATTTTGGTTCTCAAAAGAAATTTCAATTGTTGTACTGTTGATATTTGGCTCTGTTGACTAATGAGTTTGCCGACCACTGACTGGGCTAGGGAGTTCGATGTAAATCATGAGTCTTATATTTTTGTTGATTTCAGAGAGGAAGGGAGAGGGAGAGAGAGACAGAAACATTGATGATGAGAGGGAATCACTGATTGGCTGCCTCCTGTATGCTGCCTAATGGGAATCGAGCCCTCAATGCAGGCTTGTGCCCTTGACTGGAATCGAGCCCAGAACCCTTCAGTCTGATGCTGATGCTCTATCGAATGAGCCAAACTAGCCAGGGCAGAAGTCCAGGGAGAGGAAAGGGAGGGGAAGGAGGCCTCGGGGTTACTAGAACCACAAATGGCCCGGCTGGTGTGGCTTGGAGGTTGAGCATAAACCCATGAACCAGGAGGTCACGGCTTGATGCCTGGTCAGGCACATGCCCAGTACGGCTTCTCTCCCTTCCTCTCTGAAGTCAATGAAAACACACATATATTTTAAAAGAGAGAATCACAAATAAGCCATTACAGAGAGAAATATATCTTTCTTAAGTCTCACCAACTAAGAAGAAATACGGGAACTTTCTACTTTGATTCAGCGGCGCCAGCAGCTGCATGGCCAAGAGGAGGCGCTGCAGCGAGCCTTGTGGTCCGGGGAGCCCGGGGCATTTGCTGGGAGAGCAGCACTGCTGGGCCAGGAGCGTGGCCACAGCGATGCTGCCGTGAATTCGTAAAGAAACCGTGTGCACACCCGCCCACTGACGGCCTGAGACCAGTGGCCTTCGACTTGCTGAGGGTGGGAGACTCGTTCACCAGGGCACTGGCCACTGGAAGGGGTATATCTGCTGGGGGGACCCGCCCCGTCAGGCGAAGCTCTTCGTCAGGGGGTCCTTACGGGCCGCTGAGACCGGTGCCCAGGATGTGCTGTGCACGGGCTCCAGCCCTATTCGCATGTGGCAGAGATTTGGTTTTCTCTCCAAGGTGAAAAAGACTTGACCTCTCTCTTCGGAACTTGTTTTAGCCACAGGAATATACTTTTCATGATGCAAAAGCATCTTTCTCTTAGGACCGCTGCTCAGCAGTGCCACCGAGATCGTGGGAAACAGGCCACCCAGCCCTCTGGCCGGCCTGTCTCCTGAGCTTCACTGGAAAGCCATTTCCCCCTCCTCCCCTTGACCAGGAGAGCGGGCGGGGAGGAGTGCGTGGACAGAGGGACGTGCATACCTAGCAGCTTCTCGCCCAGCATTGTGAGCTGGTCCCCGTTGAGGCCTCTCTTGGTGACGGAGGAGAACTGCCAGCTCAGCACCTCCGAGAGCTGCGCCCAGCGTGCACAGGGTGGGTTCAGGAAGAAGGACAGGTTCTGGGGAGAAGACACCCACGTGAGCGGCTCCCCGAGAGCCACGGCCGCAGGCCAGACACCCAGCACAGCCGGCTTCCGTGACCGCCCACGGCGGACGGAGAAACGGGGCCGATGCGCATGGCCTGCAGCTTCCCACCTGTGAACCCAGTGCTCCCTGAATGGATGTCGCTCGGAAGTGGAGACCCACGTGCTTCTGAGCTCACTCGGGGCCGTGCATGCACCGCGGGTGACAGATGTGTCACCCACAGCACGCTTCCCATTGGGGTCAGACCCCCGCGCCCAGTTCACCTCTCAGAGTTTCGGACCTTGCCAGGTCAGGCACAGCCAGCGCTCGGTCTCTGTGCCATTCAGGGGCCTCACTGTCTGAATGTGAAAGTGCTGCCTTGGGAGCGTGCTGCCCGGTGGGTGGTGCTCAGGCCGAGCCTCAGTGCTGCTGGGTCACCAGTTCGTAGGTCACCACAGACAGATCATCTACGAACTGGTGACGAGAGCTTGTAACCGAGGCTTGTAGGAGCCTAACCCCCTTCTTTGGGCTCAGTATTTGCTAAACCAGTTTTCACGGTGACTAGGTGACTGCAGGTGCTCACGGTGTCTGAGGGACTGGAGTACATGAACAACTAGAATCAGTCAGCGGGGAGTGTGCACACTCTAACAATGAGGTTGCTTAGTAGATGCATCCATTTTAAAGAAGTAACAGTACAGGTCTCATCCACAGTAAGTTATAACAGACCACCGACTGCCTGGCTTAGTCAAACCTGAGGGAAGTCACAGTTCTCATTCAAAACACAGCCACAAGCCACTTCCCCAGAATCCCTCCAGGCCCCTGGCGGGGCCCTTGGCGGCTCTTTGGGAGCCACGGGAGCTAAAGCAGGGGGTGTGGGTGCTGGGGTGAAAGCAGACGTGTGCGCACGTACCCTGGGCTCCGTCACTAGCATGTTGTACCACAGGATGGAGGCCCAGCCGCTGGGGAGCTGGCTGACGTTGGAGATCACGACGACAGGCAGGGAGGTCGTCTGCAGGAGGACAGAGACCAGGAAGCCGTCTGAGTGACAGCAACATTGCCGTAGACCTCTGGGCAGCCTGAGGCCTGAGCCCGGGATTATCGGTGAATCACACCGATGTTACACTTCAAAATTAAACTGTCAAGTTATGTTCTTTAGCTCATAGTTCAATTTGTGTGTCTTTTTCTTAAGGCTGCCATTTTTTTTTTTTTAAATATATTTTATTGATTTTGGACAGAGAGGAAGGGAGAGAGATAGAGAGTTAGAAACATCGATGAGAGAGAGTCATCGATCAGCTGCCTCTTGCACACCTCCTACTGGGGATATGCCCGCAACCAAGGTACATGCCCTTGACCGGAATCGAACCCGGGACCTTTCAGTTCCCAAGCTGACGCTCTATCCATTGAGCCAAACCGGTTTCGGCAAGGCTGCCATTTTTTAAAAGTTGACTTGAGACGGGGGGTAGAGGGGGGCGCAGGGAGAGAAAGAGAGAGAGGGAGAGAACATTGATTGGTTGTCTCTCACACATACCCCGACTGGTTCTCGAACCCAGGACCCTTCAGTGTACACAGGGATGATACTCCAACCAACTGAGCCACACTGCCCAGGGCTTAGTTTGTTTTGATTTATCTTTCAGTTAGGACATACGTCTCAATGCTTCACATAAAAACTAACATTGACTAGCTCAACTGAAACAATTTGCTTACAGACTTTGAAGGGTAGTTTAATTAACTATCTTCATGAATCTCCAAATTAAGAGTATTAGCTGGAAATATCATTTTTTTTTTTTTTTTTTTTTTTTAGCAAGTAGGCAAATACCTCTAAAGCAAAAACTGAGAAATGAAAACACAAGCAAGCAGTTGGAAATGAAGTTTCCCACGGCTGGATCTCGTAAACCTTACCTCCAGGTCAATCACCAAACCCGGCTGGCACAGCTGGGTCTCGAAACTGAGGGAGTGCAGCTCCTCCGTCACGATGAGGGGGCCCTGCAAGAGAAGGGGAATACTGTCGTTGGGGTCCTGCAGCTCCCAAGACTTCCCAGCTGAGAGCTGCGCCAGCCAGGCCACACAGAGGCTCCTGCCCCTCCCACCCCAGGTTGGTCACTGCAGCCGTCCCATGTTCTCTCCAACACAGAGCGCTGGGACCATGGCCAGGACCACTACTCAGGGAAAGAACTGTCGCCACCCCCTGACCCCCCTCCCCGCGTGGGCTGCACACTCCGCAGGTGGGGTGGTCGGTGCCAGGCCAGGTGTGATTCCCTACTGGAAGGCCATGTGCATGAGCCTGGGGTCACCAAGTGCCTTGATCTGGGTAGAAATGTGGTTTTCACAGAGCCCTGCTACCTGTTATCTCACGTGAGATGGGAACACAGCCCTCCCAGAGGCCCCCACCCCGGCCCCGGCCCCGGCCTGAGGGAATGCAGTGCCTCATCATGAGCGGCTGGGAGGCCTCGGGAGCCGGGCCAGCCCCTCAGCAGGACAGCCGCAGTCTGACCTCACACGGCTTCCGCACTTCCCTGCCCTTTCTCCCTGGTTCTGTGCTCTGAGCTGGGTAAGACCTCGAGCTCAGAGAGTGTGGGTCCCAGGCGGCCCGTCCACAGGTCAGATCGGATAGAATTTAGAGGTTCAACTTCAGGGTTGGCAGCTGGTGGGCGGTGGCATCACAGCCGGTGCCACCGGGACACGGAAGCCCTAATAAGCCCTCGTTTCACAGCCAGTCCTCCGGCTCTCTCGTGAGGTTTCTGGGACCCCAGCACTTGGCACAGCAGTAACAGCATCACATCTCAGACCAGAGGTGTGGCCGCTCCCCTGCGAGGACAGGAGACTGCAGAGGCCACGGAGACTACAGGCCCAGGCCGGGGCCGGCCCCCACTCCCCACTGTGCTGGTGGCGGTGAGGAAGGACGCTCGCTGTGTGGGCAGCAGGGACGGCACATTCCACACCAAACCCCTGTGCTGCCGCCCCCAAGCACAGCTCCTGCTGACTGCAGCACGGACACGATCCTCCAGGATGTGGCTCTGAAAAGGCCATGGCAGCAGGCCGCTGCCCTGGGGACGTGCGGGCAGGGGCACCTTGGTTTCTGCAGGGCAGTTGTAGAAACCGGCCTCCAGTTCCACTCCTGACAGTGACCCCTCTGCACCCAGAGCTACTCCTGCAGACCTCCTGTGGGTCTAGGTCTCCCCTGCAAAACGCGAGGAGCACAGGCGCCTGCAGACCCCGCCATCCCCCACCCGGGCAGTCTGGGAGGATCCGACCCACTTGTGAGCGGAACCGTTTGAAAGTCATAAGCCACAAATGCAGGGTGTTTGCTGTTGCTACTGATGCACCCACCACTCTGCCCTGCTGGGCCTGAGCACCTGTTCGAGGCGTCCCAGCCATGGGGGTGCTGGGCCACCCCCGGACAGACCTGCGGCTGAGGCAGACTCACCTCATTGGTTCTGTTGCCGGCGTTCTTCTGCTCCTTCAGTTGCTGTAAAACAAGAAGCCACCTAAGTACCCGACCCGATCTTAGAAGATGCTATTTTCATTTACAATCACACCAGAGTCGGGCCTCGGGAAGAAGGCAGCCGAAAGCTATGCTCAGAACCAAAGCACAAGACTACAGGGCCTTGTGCGGGATCCCAGGCAGGAGCCTGCCCGCAGCCAGGCATCAGCCATCACTCGTGTGCGGGAGGAGCCAGGACACTGCTGCCCTCCCTCCCCTGAGTGACTCATCTCCCTCCCCAGCCGCTCCCGGCTCTCCAGGCTCAGGGGTCGGCCTCTGCTCCCCCACCTGCCCCCGCAGTCCCCAGGCAGGCCCAGCAGTTCAGGACCAGCTAAGACTGTTCTCACAAGGAGCCGATCCTTATTGTCGAGGAAACAGCTTAGGGTCCGAGAGCAGCTCTGGATGCGCTGGGCTCCTGAGTTTGGATCGAGGCTCTCACACCAAGTCTAATTTCCCGGAGGGGCCGCTGTTCATGGAGGCCGGGAGGCGGCTAGGTGAAGGCTGCCTTGAGCCTCCCTGCAGGCTCCGGGAGCACTGAAGGCTCAGCACCTGTCGTCCTCAGCATGCAACCAGGGTTTGCAGGGGGGCGGCTGAGGCACCGCTCACCTCCACCCCTGCTGCCGGGTGGCAGTGGTGCAGGGCCACCAGGAGGCGAATGTGAGGAAGGAGGTGAGGGGACCCTGGGGTCTGTCACACCTGAGCGGGGAAAGGCCCAGCTGGGACCACAAGAACCTCTGGGGAAACGGCAGAGTCCCAGGCACCATGTGCAGGTCACTTATGTGTGCACTGGTACGTGGGAGACACTGAGTCCCTGCACCCCAAATAGTGTCTCTGGGAGAGTGCACAGTCCTGGGCTGGGGAGGGACTGAGGTTCCCCAAGCGCTGGGGGGAGGGGTGGTCACCAGCCACAGAGGGGCATCTCCTCCCAGGGGGCCCCCCCACATCCCACAAAGTCCTAGGAAACCAGCCGCGCTGTAAAGGGGGACTGGCTGACTTACCAGGTGCCGGAACTCGGCAGCCAGGCTGCCGTTGGTGGACTCCTCCATATTCATCACCTTCGTGTGTGTGCCCAAGATGTTGAACTTCCGGAACCTGGGTGGCAGAGGAGAGGGGTGTAAACGGCCTGGAACTTCGACAGAGAAAGAAGGTGGTAGAATAAGTGCCAAGTACTACGTACCCTTTCACCGTGTTTCTCTCGTTCACGTCTCTGCAAAAAGAAGGATCCATGTAAAATGGTATCTAGGCACTTAAGCTTTGAAATGTGCTTTATCAAACGTGTAAAATTATATCTACAAATAAAAGGTCACCAAAAAGGTAACTCTGTTCCCGTGGGCTTTCTGCCCTTCCTTTCGCTCACTCGCTCCCACACCCGTCTGCCCAGGACCACTGGGTAATGAATCACGGGGCAGGAATTTTTCATTTGTGCAACATGCAAACAGCACCAGCCGACAGCCTCTTGTGAGGCGTGAGCTAGCCAATGGGTGCCAGCACGCCCTCAGTTGTCACTATTAGTGGAGCAACTGCTCACTCCATGCACAGCACTGTGCCAAGCCCCGAGGACTCCCCTCAGCAGAGCCCTGCTCGGAACCGAGAGGACCTTCGGAAGTGGCCACTTAGCCCTCGGCTGCAGAGTCACGGTAGCTGGGCACCTGCGGGGCGGCCTAGAAGGCGGGCAGGGCGGAGGCTGGCTCAGTGCCAGCTCACTCTTATGAACTTGCTCCTGTGCCGTCTAAACAGGCCAGGCGTGAGGGACAGGAGTGGGAGCTGCAATTACAACCCGCTGGGATCCCTGTACAACGGCCATATTTCCATAGGACGTGTATCTTGGATAGTAGTCGAGATATCTTACTTATCAAACAGAACTTTAACTTTCAAGTTATAATTCAGCTCTTGCAATTTCACCAGCAATCTGGAAAGAAAAATGAAAGTCATCATTACTTAAAAAAAACTCGATTACAGTTTATTTTGCCGATTCCCTATCAATGAACGTTTAGATGACCCCCACCTTCTAAAGCGTGGGGTTATTACAAACAATGACACTGACATCTGTATCTGCGTGCCTGGGCTTCGGAAGTGTGTTTGAGGGACACACGCCCAACTGTGACTGCGGGCAGAACGGCGATGGCAGACTCTGAGAGCACGTAGCACCTGCTCCCTACACAGCCTAGCCCACGCGGGGTTTTTACAAAATTTCTACTTTTGGTCAATTGTATGGGTAAAATATAGTAAATACTTTTACTAAAGCTTGCATCTAATGCTTGTTCGTGTGGGGGTAGATTAAAAACTATCGCCCCTCATCAGGAAGATGAGGGTCCCCTCTCTCATCACCTGGGCGGGGTGGAGCAATGGAGACTCGGCCTTCTGTGCTCGGCTGAGCTGGAGGCCCCGGGCAGGAGCCCTTATGTCTCACTCTGCTCCGTGTGGAGCAGGTGACGGGATGAGACTTCTGGTGCCCTCCCAGCCGTGGGTGCCAGGACCCAAGGGTGCTGAGCGTAGTGCCAGGAAGTAGCACCTACGACCTCACTAACAGACCAGCACATGGGACCAGGGCTGACTCGAGGCAAGTGCTACTCCCCGGAGCCCCGCTGCTCCCCTGGCCGGTGCTGCTCCCCAGAGTCCCACTGCTCCCTGGAGCCCCGCTGCTCCTCTGATCAGTGCTGCTTCCCAGAGCCCCGCTGCGCCCCTGGAGGGACAGGTGAGCGGGGCAGCTGTTCCATAGGAGGGAAAGCATGTGTCCTCACATGGAAACGTCTCCACAGTTTATCATCAGGAGAAAAACAAGCCGCAAAACAAGTAATTAGCAGAATCCCGGTTCTTAGACATAAGACGCTGCATGTCATATGTATGTGTGTGTGCATGTTTGTCTATAAACACACACATAACTCATGTACTATGTAGATGTGAACAAACCCAGTGAGGACTGGCACAGGCTGTTACCACAGTCGTCTGCACATCTGATGAGCGAGCTATGAACCCACTTGGCAGAAAAATGTATGTGCCACAGGCCCCCACATAAGGTGCATGGGTTCTGAGGGCATATGAAGCTCTTTCCTGCACTGATGCTCAAAAGGGAAGGGGCTGCTGGGACTCAGTCTGACTTCCTTGTGCAGGGAATGCGCACTGCATCTGCACTGGAAAACATCGGGGGGGGGGGGGTGCACACACACCTGTTACAGCTCTAGGGGGAAAGGCCAGGCAGACTCTCCGCCTGAAGAAGGGTTTGGAATAAAGTGCCCGGTGCGGACTCCTCCCCCAGATGCACCCCGGGCAGCGCTGTGGGAGGAGCGGGAGCAGACTCGGCGCAGGCGGCGCTCAGCCTGGCGTTCTCACCTCAGCTTCACGGTGAACTGCACCCCCGTCTTCAGGACCAGCGGCCTCTGCGGGTGCGTGGGCATGCAGGGCTGCCGCTCCACCACGAAGGAGCTGTGGGTCCCAGCAAAGCACAGGTTAGCGTTCCCAGGAAGGCCGAGCAGTAACAACCAATCTCCCACAGAGGAAGGGGGTACAGGGCAAAAGCAAAGAAGCAGTTTGGAGGGCTCTAAGGGCTCCTAGTCAGTAAAGCAATGCTCGGGTCTCATTTGCTCTTGACAGAACCAGAGGAACTGCCTGGGGGTGCGATCCTTTTTACCAGCGAGACCCTCAGCTGGGCTGTGTGCACTGCAGTCTGAGCTGAGAAGCCAACCTGCTAACAATTTATTACAATGATCCTTCCGCACGCGCACAGCATCGGATCTAAGTGTTAAGGGAGGGGGGATGTGAGAGCCTGAGGGGAGAGGAGGCCAGAGGGAGGGGACACGGCTGATGAGGGGAGACCCGCTGTCTCTGCACGACCTGGCTGTGGAGGGACAGAGAAGGGGTAACATTCACTAGTCCCACTCTAGGCAGCCACAGAAGGAAGGACTCTGGGAAGAACTGACTGGCCATGAAAAGTTTATATAACCCAGTAAACCTTCCTTTTTTTTTTTTTTTTTTAATATAAATATATTTGTGTTGATTTCAGAGAGGAGGGGAGAGGGGGAGAGGAACAGAAACATCAATGATGAGAAAGAATCACTGTTCAGCTCCCTCTGCACGCCCCCTCCTGGAGATCAGGCCCGCAATCTGGGCATGTACCCTTGACCAGAACCAAACCCAGGTCCCTTTAGTCCGCAGGCCGATGCTCTGTCCACTGAGCCACACCGGCCAGGGCCCATTAGACCCTCCTTACTTACTGGATGACCACACAGATTTCCTTGGAGCAACAGACCTGCAGAGGTGCGACGGCCTCCCCTTACCTCTGGATGAGCTGCTGGAAGAGGCTGAAGGTGCGGTCCGACAGGGCCTGCTTGTTCTTGGTGATGGGGTCGTGGTCGTAGGTGTACTTCTGCTCCAGCTCCTCGAGCTTTTTAAGCTGCTGGCGGACCTGCTGCAGACTCTCAGCGACGACAGTGAACCTGGGTGGCATGGGGCAGGGCTCAGTCAGAAACAGCCCGCAGCCACCGGGCCTGAGGGCCCGCGATCACCAGCAAGGGGTTCTCACAGATAGCACACCACTATCTACATGGGTGCACACGCACTGCAAGGGGTGATGGGGGACGAGGCTCCTCTCAGTGGTATTTGGGGAGAAAACACTAACACGTGCTGCTCTCTCTAGTGGCCATGAAGCCCTCCTATGCATTCTCAAGGTTCTGGAAACCTCTGAGGCAACCCCTCCCCTCGTCCCCCATGGGACCAGTTAGTGCTGGCAGCACTGCATTGCCAGAATCACCCACACCACCTCCTGCCTGCACGCCCAGGGCTCCTTCCCGGCCAGGACCAGCCGCCCTCCCCCTGCGTCCCAGGCCTGGCCAGAGCCGCACACAGCTTCAGGACGTACTCATGGGTGGATGACTGGACGGATGACCACACAAACTGTTATGTCACCCTAGAAAATGCCTCAATATTTTGTTTTTATAAAACATCAGGACCTGAGTTGTTAAAGATGTTATGTGACAACCATGTCCCTGGTGTTCTGGCACCAATGACGCGTCCCATGGCCCAGGGGCAGCAGGGAGAGGAGTGCCTTGGCCAGGCGGAGCGGGGCTGGCTGCCAGGGCGGGCGGGCGGGACCTCGGCCATGCTCACCAGCTCTGCAGCTGATCGAGGCAGGCGTTGGGGGGCCCTCCGATGCAGGCGCTCTGCTGCCTCCGCTTCCACTCCACCAGCTCGTCGTTGATCAGGGCCTTCTGGGTCAGCTCGGTGGCATTCAGCACCTCGATGATTTTGTGAATGACTTCCTGCGGGGAGAGGGCAGACAAGGCAAAGTAAACGTACCTTTAATCACTGAGTTTTAAGCAATTTTCTTAAAGCAAAGCCACTAGCCTTTCATCTATGTCAAGTGGTTATAAAACCATCTCTCCTCCGCCCTGAACTCCAGTGCGCCCCTCACAGTCCCTGACAAACGTGGCACGTCTCCCGGAAGGGGAGTCCCTACCTTTCTCTTGTTGTCCAGCATTAAGAACATCTTCTGCAGTAACATCTGCTCTTGTTTCTGATCGCTCTTGGCCACGCCATTGGCTTCGTGCTCTGTGATGGGCAGAGACACAGGCAGATGTAAAAGGGAGGGGAGACAGGATGAGCGAAGACCACAGCCCCAGGCCCGTGGCAGAGCTGTGGCCCAGCACTATGTGGCTAGAGGTCAAAATCGGTCTTCTCCAGTCTTCCTTGAATAGGAGGAGGAAAACATCCCACGTGTAAAAATTGGTCGCAGGAAACAAAGCCCTTGTCTCTAATGACCCTGCTGGGTGGCAACAGCACTGCCTGGTTCTGCAGTCACTGTCACAGTCTGACCTCAAGGAACCTGCGTGGCAAACTCCAAACCCGCAGTGGCTCTGAGAGAAGTAGATGATTAGGAAGTGAGAGTAGCTGAGGTTCCTTCTCTCAGAGTTTTTACCCAGGTTATACGCATGATCTCTTCACTGTTTCTTATTGAATTTATTGGGGTGATCCTGGTTAATAGAATTACATAGGTATACAATTCTACAACACACTATCTGTATATTGCGTGTTTAACCTCTCAAGTCAGGTCTCCTTCACCATTTATCCCCCTTTTGCTCTAACCATGCTGTCCTCCAAATTGCTGCTGGGGTCACAGCAGTACCCCACATGTTCTACACTTGTGGGATATTTTTCAGTTGCTGTCATCATTAAACACAACAACAAACCCGGCCGGCATGGCTCAGTGGTTGAGCGTTGTCCTATGAATCAGGAGGTCACAGTTCAATTCCCGGTCAGGGCACATGCCCAGGTTGTGGGCTCAATTCCCAGTAGGGAGCATGCAGGAGGCAGCCGATCCATGATTCTCTCTCATCATTGATGCTTCTCTCTCTTCCTTTCTGAGGTCAATAATAAAAATAAATAAATAAATAAATAAATAAAATAAAAATTAAAACAAAAACACAACAACATAGAGCTACTGCTTGAAAACACGAGAAGAATGCTGACCGTTATCCAAAGAGCACACACGTGGAGCTGGAACGTGGGGGAGCTTAGGCACTGGGCCTGGGAACTCACCCCACATTCCTAACCATCTCTGTCAGCCAGCGGGCTAGACACAAGTCAAGTAGCACATCCCCTGCCACCAAGGGCACCACTGGGGCCTGGGGATAGTGCTGCTGCCCCCTAGGGGTACGAGCCAGACACGCACAAGACACCTGCACAACACATTATCTGACCCCCAGCATCCCAGCACTGAAGGCTGAATTACATAGGTATACAATTGCTCAGCCAGACGGGCAATTCCGCGTGGAAATATCGGCACTTGGGAAGGAGGACTGGTCTCTGCTGGCTCACACAGGCGGAAAAACTCACGACCAACAAGCACCGTGCTGCATGTGAGCTTACCTCTGTTCTGTGAGGTTTTGCATTTAAAGTCATATTCATCTTGTAAGTCTTCCAGCGTCTTGATTTCATGCTCTATCCACTATAAATAGAGACATAAACCGGGTTGTTAGCTGATCAGCTTCCAAAACTTTAAGAAACAGATCACTGCTTCTATTATAGAAGACCCAGAAAACCATGGCAATAATCCTGCTCCCTCAGACGAACTAGACTTGCAAAATCCGAGTCATACACATGAAATAGTGGCCATTTCATTAATAAATATATAGTAACTTTATTTATAAAAGACACTACACAACCAGCCAGTGTGGCTCAGTAGCTGAGCATCGACCCGTGAACCAGGAGGTCACGGTTCGATTCCCGGTCAGGGCACAGGCCTGGGTTGCGGGCTCGATCCCCAGTGTGGGGCGTGCAAGAGGCAGCCGATCCATGATTCTCTCTCATCAGAGATGGTTCTATTTTTCTCTCCCTCTCCTTTCCTCTCTGAATCAATAAAAATATATTTCTTTCAAAAAGGAAAGAAACTATGTCAGGATGGGGCCCTGATCCTTACTGCAGTGATGGGCTCCCCAGGAGGCTAGGAGGACGCCGTCTGACGCACCTCATGCCTGTGTGCCCAGAGATCCATGGGAGGCCCGGGCCCATCAGCTGGCCTTTCCATCGACACAGGTCTGGTTAGAGCATGCTTACTCTTCCCCAAACAGCCCTCAGAGTACAGGGCGTGAGCGGACCTCACCCCACCCCAAGCACCGAGCACCCCCACTGCCACACGCTGCCTCGAAGGCTTGTCTTAAAACGACGCGGCGTTCTGCTCTAATCGGGAACGCAGCAGCCCTGGCTTCAGGACATGCTTTCCTCCTCATCCACATCTGAGAGGGAAGCAGGTGCCTGAGGATGGCCATGTGTCCCCGTGGAACCGGGGACCTCCGGCTAGGGCAGCAGCATCTGGTTTCCTGGGTGATGGGCAGAGGCAGCAGTACAACATGGCGCCACAGGAAGGCCGAAGCGAGCTGGGTGTTTGTCAGTCACACCAGGAAGGCCTGAGAGTCTGTCTAGTCACTGGTGTCTCCGACTTGTTAACTTGAGGTTTGGGTAAGGTGACCAGACGTCCCAATTTTTAACAGTCCCGCGCCCCAAGGCATTTTTAAAAAGTCCCGATTTTTGGAAAGAATGCACAACAAGCTAGGGTATGGTGGGAGAACGGGAAGGGAATATACAGTTTTCGGCGGCCATGTGGCTATTTAACCAGGATATGAGTTTTATATTATTTTTGTTAATTTTATAATGTTAAACTTTAATAATAACAAATAATTGTTGAGAACTGATTATCGAGAACTGCTTATCAAAGTTCGTATTGTTGACCAGTTGTTAGAATTCGACCACCACTGTTTGGACTTAATGAACAATGGCATTTTTTGGAATTGGCAACGACGAAAATGTTTTGTAACTGTCTCTCAGATGATACACGTCGTACTGTGTGCTAGTAAGCTAGTTAAACAAGTGATGTCATTACAAATCAGCTATTCAGATAATTAGGTAAGTAATTTATTTATTTACTTCATAAATACATAAATTTTCTTGAATTTAGTAGACAGTACTCATATTATTTATATTTTATAGTGGCAGCAAAAAGTCTAGCGCCAGCCTTGAAAGTGACACTTACGACTTACATTATGGCAAATTCAGAAGAAAAATAATACAAGTTAGTATTGTTATTATTTAGAAAGAAATATAGGATTAAAATTAAAATAATTTTATTTTAATTTTTAAAATATAGTTACTTTATAATAATCTAATTAATTTATAAACTAACAATAAAATATGTTCATGTAATTATGTAACTACTTAATGTGTTTTTAAGCAATATGTATATAATATGTATATAATAATTTATAATATAATATAATATAAACCAAATTTTTAATTAAGAAAACACACACACACACCCGTCAATGGTGTCCTGCTTTACCAATGTTAAAATCTGGTCACCTTAGGTTTGGGGCCTCAGCTGTACGTTTCTCCTCCACTGTTTAAAGGACTGAGATGTGTTGCTATGGTTACACTGAAAGCTTTCCCTCCCCAGAAAGCCGTGGGCACTCGATACTCACATTCACATTTTCCTTCACATCCTTGACGCGGGCATCCAGCTCCTTCTGCTTGTCGAGCATCACTGTGCCTGGAACGTTCCCCGCCTGCGCCTGTAACGGGGAGCATGACCGACTGTCACCCTTTCCTCTGGGACTTACTTGCTGGTCCCACTCCAAGGTCAAGTCTATGCCCTGTGCCCCCACGCCCTCCGACACCTTCCCACAGGGGTGCCTGCAGGGAACAGTTCCGTTCCCAGGGCCTGGAGAAGATGCTGGCAAACTGTGAATGCCACGGAGGGACCAGGCCCAGTTCGTGCTGAAATAGATGTCCCATTGATCCATACGGCTGCAGGCGCCGCACAGGGATTTGTTTCAGGTTTCTCAGGTTCTGCAGACAAGTTTCTTCTTATTAACCCCGGACTCCTAAGATTTCACTCATAGGGGTGAACACAAACAATGGGGTGGTGGGTGCCAGAGGGAAAAGGGGGCCCCAATATGAGGTAATAGAACACTGGACTCTGGGTGGTGGACACACGGTGCAGTATACAGGTCCCATTACATAAAACCCCCACCCAAAACCAGTACGTTCCCGTGGACCAATGTCACCCCAATACATTTAATAAAAAAAGAACCCTGTCCTTGTCTGTCTTAAAGCCTTGGAGTCCCCATGTAGTCCCAGACTGGCGCCTCTTACACTTCAGCTTGCTGGGAGGCAGGGCGGCGGGGTCTGATTCTGACTCAGACCCCCCTGGTGACCTCACCAGGTGACGCAGAGGCATGATGGCGCTGCTGCTAAGGCTTTCGGGAACACACCTTCGGTTCACCTGTCAGACTAGTCAGCTTGAGTTTAAAACCAATGATATGTAGCTTTAAATGCTTGCCCTCGCTGGTGTGGCTCACTGGACAGAGCCTCAGCCTGCAAGTGGAAGGCTCCTGGGTTTGATTCTGGTCAAAGGCACATGCCCAGGTTGCAGGTTTGTTCCGCAGTAGGTAGTATGCAGGAGGCAGCCGATCCATGATTCTTTATCATCATATCATCATTGATGTTTCTATCTTTTTCTCTCCCTCTCTCTCTGAAATCAATAACAAATATTACATTTAAAAAAATAGCTGAAACCGGTTTGGTTCAGTGGATAGAGCGCCGGCCTGCAGACGGAAAGGTCCCGGTTTTGATTCCAGTTAAGGGCATGTACCTTGGTTGCAGGCACATCCCCAGTAGGGAGTGTGAAAGAGGCAGCTGATCAATGATTCTCTCCCATTACTGTGTTTCTCTCTCTCTCTCCCTCTCCCTTCCTCTCTGAAATCAATACAAATATATTAAAAAACAAAAAACAAAGCTCTTTCTGGCGTGCAGTTCAGTTGGTTAGAGCATTATCCTGATACTCCAAGGTTTGGGGTTTGATTTAGGTCAAGGCACATATAAGAATCAATCAATGAATGTATAAATAAGTGGAACAACCTATTGATGTTTTTTTCTCTTCCCCTCTCCCTTCCCCGATCTTTCTCTCTCTCAAATCAATAAATTAAAAACAAAACAAAACCCAAAACTCTTGCTTATCCCATCAACCAGTTCTCCTCCCCAAATCTCCTGTGCTGTCAAAGCCCTCCCCCTTCCTCCCGGCTCAGCACACAGGCACTCCCAGTGACAGTTACAGACTAGTCACCCTGACCTTTCACTGTCTCACTCCCACGTCTGAGCCTTCACAACAAGCCCAACACTGAACCCGAGTCTGCCCACTTGCTCACGCCCCTTCTCTCTCTCCCTCTTCCCCCCCTTCCCCAGGCTGCGGCAAGAACCCATTCAGGGCCTGCCTGCATCCTTACTGACCCCGCACCTCAGAACAGTGTCCGGACCCTGATCTACACAGCCAGTCCCCAGCCACCCCATCACTGTCAACACAGCACCCTGACCAGTTATCTCCATGGTGATCCTTCCTATCTGGAAGAACTGTGTCTATTCGTTGTCGCTTTTACGAGCCTGGTCCATAACACCCCTACTTCTGATTTCCCACTTCCTGGGGCTACAACATCAGAGGCCTACTCACCACCACCTCAGTAACATTTGTTGGAAAAATAAATGCATTTATTTTATTATCATCATCAGTGTTCAATTAGAAGAAGAAGTACCTGATTGAATCTCTGTGCATTTTCCAGAATTTTTCTTTCCTCCTTCAGACAGTTATAGATGATCATTGACATCAGAATTGGGTCTTCCTGAAAATTATCCTACGTATGGGTGGTCAGGACAAAAGTAAATTATGTATCAGAATGTTTAAGTCGCTGTGCATTGTAAATTGAGATGAACTCATTCATATTCACTGAGAAGTCTCATCTCACATTTATTAAATTCTACAGAAGTTAATATTTGGTAAAATGAGAATATTCTTTTCACAAATTCTGACAAAAACTGCTCTAACTTTCCAATTAAGTGCAGGCACCTCAATTACTTCCTGATTTAAAAAACCAAGTATTTTTATACATGGTTCCTATCGTACTTTAATTACTATTTCTCTTTTATAGGAATGATCCTTAGTGAGGGTCCTGAGACAATGCAAGTGACGCAGCAATGACCCATGACGTTCCCGCTGGTCTCTGCTTCCATTAGACCAGAGACGTCTCCTCAGTTTTTCTGCTTCCTTGCCAAAAGTAGTTTGTAAAATACTGGCAATCGTGGCTTCTTATTTTTTATTTTTTAAACAGCATCATGGCTTTTTATAACAGATGTATGCCAGCCAAGTCGATAGGAGAACCAATGTTTATGCAGTTAACCGGACTTCCCTGGCAATATAAAACCCTAGACCAGGAAAAACAAGGTGCTCACAACCTCAGGTTAGCAGTTGCTGTGTTTTTATGAAACAGGAAAACAGTGCTCGCCTCCATTAGAACAGGAGTGTCCTACTGTGGGAGCGACTTAAGGATAAGGGAGTGCTTCTGGAGTAACCCCAAAACTCCGTAGCACGTTCTCTCCAGCCCAGAGCCCCCAGACCCTCCCTCGTAGGGCAGCCCCACAAAAAGCAAGGCCAGGAGGGCCTCACCCTAGCGCCCCGCTGCCCCTCGGACCCCAGGAGGCCCCACTGTGTGCTGGGCTCCCTCTCCATCACAGACGAGGACTGACTGGACTCAGCACGGACGCCCCTCTGGGCTTGACCATGGCGCTCTAGCTCACCGCTCTTAAAACGCAATCTTCTTCCTCTGGTTTAAATAGCTACAACCTTTAGTCAAACAAGTCTGTTGCGTCACATTTTCTCAGAATCAGATTTTCTTGCCTAATGAGGGATACACTGAAACCTAAACATCCCATGTGCTTACCAAATGAGCTGACATTATTTACTTGTGCTCTGAAGTCTTCACCACAGGAAGGGACTGGGTCGACAGCCTCTAACTTTTCTGGATGCCAATGCATGTGCTCAGTGTATGGCGAATGGAAAACGCTCCTGTGAACGCGGGCCTTCCCTCCCCCACCCCTCCACACACACACTCACACACTGTGTACCTGCAGGTTGCGCTTGCTCTTCCGGATGTTGTGCTGCAGCAGGAAGTTGTTCTCCAGGGAAAAGCGGCTGTACTGATCGTCCAGCTGCGACAGCAGGTCGTGGAAACGGATGGTGGCGAACGAAACGTCATTGGCAGCGTGCTCCCTACAGGGAAAATCCACACGCTCACCAAGGGGCCGTTTTAAACACAAAGATCATCGCTGCCTCCGTGTGAAGCCGCTAACAGCAGTGAGTGCTCCTTCATCTTATCGCTTTCCTGAGACACGGATGCTGCTTTCAGCGGAGTCGGTACAATATTTGTTATACATAGCTAGCCCGAGAAATTCTACAACTCCCAGACTGGGCACAACTCTGCTCATGGCGACCAACTCTGAGGGGAGAGGTCCCGAGCAGGGGACCTCATTTTTCTATGTCGAATACTCTCGGAACATCGAAAGCACCCACAGTCAGCAAAAAGAACTTTTAAAATAGAACATGGGTCACTTTTGAGCGATATGGCCTGAATGCTATCACCTCTTCACACCTCTAAAGCAATACTGTACCATACCTCAGCTTTAATGGTTTCCTTTAACTTCTTCCCATGGCTGTATCCTAACCTGGGCAGTAACTGGTGTCGCATTACCTAACATATCCAAAGCATTTAGGAGCATCTATAATAATAAAAGTGTAATAGGCTAATTAGACCAGAGGACATCCTTCCTTCTGGAGAAAGCCGCAGCGGGCGGGGTGGGTAGGGGCCAGGGCCAAGGTCCTTGCATGCATTTTGTGCATCGAGCCTCTAGTGTGTCATCATTAAACTGACAAGACTGCGTGAGGTGCTTAATGACTAATGCGTGTAGCTGTGTAGAGACATGTGCCTGTGTAGAGACTTTTCAAATCCACACTCTTCTGGAACCGACAACCCCAGCGGCTCCGATGAGGTTCATCTTCCATGTCACTGAATCAGCAAGTTCCCTGAACAGACACCGCCCCTCTCTAGCCCTCCTCACCAGTCCTGCTTTTCCAGCCACTGGGCCAGGTACTGGCGGATCTCCATGGGGAAGCTGTCATCGTAGAGCTGGTGCACCTGCTCCAGGAACTTGGCGTCCAGCTGCTGCAGCTCGTACCACTGGGACATCCTGGAGGAAAGTAGACATCACGAGTGGAAGCCAGGCTCCAGGGGCGCACACTTAGCATGGCGCTTCCTGCAGATGCTTTGCTGGATCCAATACATAATTTGCCTCTGAACTATATACTGCTTCAATAGTGTCTGTATGCAGAAGCCTGTTTGTTTTGTTGCTGTTACTTTTTAATTTATTGTTGAAAGTATTACATGGTCCCGCTTTATCCCCCTCTGGCCCACCATCTCCCACCCGCAAGGTCTTTGGTTGATTACCTCCCACCCACCCTCCCCTACCTTCCCTCCCAGATTCCACACTGTTTTTTTTTGTTTTTGTTTTTTTTAAAAGCAACTTCTTTCTTAAAAAAAAAAAAAGGTATATTTTTTATTGATTTCAGAGAGAAAGGGAGAGGAAGAGAGAGAAATAGAAACATCAATGATAAGAGAGAATCATTGATTGGCTGCCTCCTGCACGTCCAAAACTGGGGATTGAGCCCAGGACCCAAGCATGTGCCCTGACCAGGAATTGAACCTGGGACCCTTAAATCCACAGGCTGACGCTCCATCCACCGAGCCACACCAGCTAGGGCCACACTCTGTTTTTTAAATTGATTTTTTGAGTCAATTTTTTGTTGTTGTTTTTCTTCTTTTCCAGGAGACACATTGTAAAGCCTTTGCTTAAACTTCTCGGGAAAGCCCTTTCTGGCCACCTTATTTAAAGGGACATCACCTCTCACCCTGGGAAATACTATACCACTTACTGATGCATTTTTCTCCATAGCACTTACCACCATCTAACATACCACGTTTTTCTTACCCTTTTTTTTTTTTTTTAAGATTTTAAAAATTGATTTGAGAGAGAGAGGAAGGGAGAGGGAGAGAGAGATAGAAACATCAGTGATGAGAGAGAATCATGGATCGGCTGCCTCTTGCACGCCCCCTACTGGGGATCGAGACGAAATCAGGCACACACCCTTGACGGGAATCCAACCTGAGTCACACCAGCTGGGCCACATATTTTCTTACATAGTTTGATTACTTTTGTTTTCCTCACATGAAGAAAAGGTTTTAGGGAGGTTTTGTTCACTGCTTCCAGGGCAGTGCTGGACACACAGTAGGTGTTCAATAAATATGCCCTTTAAATAAATCTGTACTTATATCAAACAAATAAATGCAAAACAACACCTAGATTTACTTACGGACAAATCCTAAGAACTCTCCCAAAATTGTTCTCTTAAAAATTACAGTCCATCTGTAATTTAACTCAACTTTAAACTGGTATTTCACATTTTATGGCTCATAGGTTAAAATGAATTATTTTTGTTATATAGCTTTAAAAAGAGACATGTTTTCTTCTTTGCCAACTGCAAACAATAAGTCTGGCACAAAATGTCTTAAATCTCAGTAATAATTTAAAGATCAAAACAACATCATTAAATATAGGATAATTGGGAAGGATAAAGTAATACTATCTCTTTGCATAACTGTAAGTCAGGTGTTTTGTTTTTTTTTAAAATAAATTTTATTGATTTTTTTACAGAAAGGAAGGGAGAGGTATAGATAGAAACATCGATGAGAGAGGATCATCGATCAGCTGCCTCTTGCACACCCCCCAATGGGGATGTGTCCGCAACCAAGGTACCGTACATGCCCTTGACCGGAATCGAACCTGGGACTTTTCAGTCCCCAGACTGACGCTCTATCCACTGAGCCAAACCGGTTTTGGCTGTAAGTCAGTTTTTATACAGCAATTTTAAAGATGAAAAATTAAGACAAAACCTGACTGAAGGGGGGAGCCCTGGCGTCCAGCAGGAGGTGGGGAGCCTCCCATCGCCACACAGTTCAGGGTTTGCATCGACGCCTTTCCAAGTGGATGGAAGGGGGTGCTGTCCCACCGGCCCTCGGAGGAGGGGCCTGGCTGTGCAAGCAGGGACGCGTGCAGCACAAAGCCATATCTACCCACAAATGTCCTTCCAAAGGGGGATAAGGACACGGTGGGGAGGCAGAGCTATCACTGGCACGGCTGCCCTTTCGGCACTCTTTCTCTGGCTTCTCCATGCTCACTTCTCACGTCTTGTGCCTGAGCAGAAGGCTCCAGCTCTGTGGTCCCTCCTTCCCTGAGATGTGTGTCAGCAGGATGTGCCTAAAGGATGGGCAGAGGCTGCAACAGCTCTGGCCAGGCAAGTGCCCCCAGGCCACTCACTGGCTGTCCACTGGCTGGCGGTTAGGAGCCGAAGAACTAGGTCTGAGGCACTGCCTGGCACCGCGCAGGCAGTCAATCCATTCACACCAACAAAGCCAGAACCCATCTTACCTTCCTACCAAGTGTGTTACCAACACAGGGAGCGGCACGATCATCCTCCAGGTACCTGGCTCCAGTCCGAAGCGCTCCTACGTCCCCGCCTCCAACACGACTTCCCAATCCGGCCTCTGCCACCCTCAGGTCGGACCCCATCCCTTGTTGGTTCAAAACTGCCAGCCTGCCCACGCTTAGGCTGACCTCCTCCCAGGCCCTCCCTTCAGCGATGAGCAAAGCAGCCCAGGCGCCCCGTTCTCCCTGGCTCTGCCCTTGAACACCGTCCCCCACAGATGTCTGCCTCTCCGTACCCCACCAGCGTTCCAAGGAGGTGCAGACGCTCCTCCGTAGAGCTGCCTGGGCCTGACTCAGAGACAGCGGAGCTTTCTCCGACGTGAACCCAGAGGCATCCGGAACCTCTGTTGGGGCGTCGGCCCCTGCCTTCCCTAGAGAGTTCTGTGATGAGTCCCCAGTATGACATCAGCTCCACGTTGCAGGGACCAAATTAAAAAAAAAAAAAAGTCCTCTGCTCAGCCCTGACCGGTTTGGCTCAGTGGACAGAGAGCTGGCCTGTGGACTGAAGAGTCGCGAGTTCGATTCCAGTCAAGGGCATATACCTTGGTTGCAGGCACATCCCCGGTGGCGGGGTGTGCAGAAGGCAGCTGATCGATGTTTCTAGCTTTCTATCTCTCTCCCTTCCTCTCTGTAAAAAAAATCAATAAAATATATATTTTTTAAAAAGTCCTCTGCTCCTTGGACAGTGTCTTGCACATGTAATGGACTCAGTACCTGTCTGTGGAATTGAAGATCTAGTGTATGTCAGAGCCATAGGAAGTAAAGGGCGAAACCATATCACTGTCCAGCAGTCTGGGTCCCGCACCCTCATTAAGCAGGGGTTGCACCCTGGTTCATGGGGAGGCTCAGGTCTGATTTCCATCACCTAAAAGCAAAAACCTCTCCAACCAACACAACACGCAAAGCAGAGTCAGCCACACACCAGCGCCTCTATCCCCAGCTCTTCGGTAGCGGCCGAAGTTTAGGGAGGGTGCACTGTGTGACTGGGGGGTTTGCAGGAAGGAAACGATCGCTTTCATGTTCTAGGAAGACAGTAAACTCCTCCAGCTTTGAACAGGGAGACACAGGTTCCACAGTCATGCCACCGTCCCTTCGTTGCCACGGACAGTTACGGACTCCTCCATCACCTGATGCCCCGCGAGGGGCTGGGGACTGGATCTGAGCAGCACACAGCTCTGCAGGGGCAGAATACAGGGTCTGCGTGCACATGATGCGAGCTCCTAGCGCAGAAAGCTCCCCGGGGGTGGAACACGCCCATCAAAGCCTCCTGCCGACTCCGGGTCCCGCGGGTGCGGAGGGAGGGGGCGGGGAGGGCGGCATGGAGGGGGTGATGGCCTTTCCCATGCCATCTTACTGCCCGGACAAGGCGGGCCGGGTGACCGTGCCGGCACCGAGAACTGCACCAGGGACACTCCGGACCGGGCCCTGGGGGCAGGGGGCCGGGGGCCCCACACACCTGTCCGCGCGGCCAGCCCGTCCGGGCCCGGCGCCCCGCTGCCCTGCCCGCCCCGCCCCGCCGCCGATCCGGACACACCCCAGCCTCGCACCCGGAACCCCACGCTCACTCACTCTGCGCGCCGGGTGAGCGGGGACGGACGAAGGCGCCCCGGGCCGCTTCTGCTGGGCCTCGGATCCCACAGGTGTCACCGGGCCTGCGGTGTGGGACCTCCCTGCGGACTCGGTGCCGGAAAACGAAAGTGCCGGCGAGGAAAAAAGGCAGTGCCGAACGCCCCGCCTCCTCCGCCTCCACCAATCAGGGCACCGCGCTCGGCCAATCGGACGCGGCTGTTCCGCCAGCGCGCTGCCTCACCCCCGGGGCCCGCCGATGGGCCAATCCGCTGGGCCCTTGGGGCGGGGACTGCGCGTGAGTGACGTTGCTCTGTCTGGCCGCGGGGTGCGGGACCTTTGCGTTTTCGCCTTGTAGGGAGCCGCTAAGAAGGAAGTTGCTTGCGGGGGCCCAGACTCGGCCGTGTCCGCGGGACGCCCCGCATCTGAGCGCCTGCGGCTGAGGGCCGCCATTCTGGAACTCCGCTTGGCAGCTGAAGCCCGTGGGGGGCGTGCAGGGGCGACCCATCCGTGATTCTCTCTCTCCCTCTCCCTTCCTCTCTGAAATCAATAAAAACATATATTTTTTTAAAAAATGCAGTAAAGCCGAAACCAGTTTAGCTCAGTGGATAGAGCGTGGGCCTGCGGACTGAAAGGCCCCGGGTTTTATTCCGGTCAAGGGCACGTACCTTGGTTGCGGGCACATCCCCAGTAGGGGGTGTGCAGGAGGCAGCTGATCGATGTTTCTCTCATCGATGTTTCTCTCTCTCTCTTGCCCTCTGTAAAAAAAATCAATAAAATATACTTTTTAAAAAAATGCAGTATAGAGAACATAGTACCATCCCCGTGCTGCAAGAATACATAGCAATGTAAATACAAGACAGGAAGAGGGCCACGGGAGAGGGGGTGCTGTTGCTCTAAACGGCTGGTCACTTTTAATCTTTATTATTTTTTTTAAATCACTTTCACCAGGACACTCGCAGCCCACCCCGCTCGGGGCGCCTGTGAAGTCCGTGCTTCCGGAGCGCCGCCGGGGAGGAAGGTGCCTTGGGCCGGGAGGCGGGGCTGGGGGGCGGGGATCCCATGACAACAGGCCTGCGCG